CTGTGCTTGAACCAAAATGCACACTGGATTTGGTCTCCAAAGCCAAAAGGCCCATTGCCTTGATCCATTAGAGATGAGTCTGGAAAAGCAAAAGGTTTCTCTGCAATTACAGTTTTAATTTACAGACTTTCCTGAATCTTTTGGTGCACTAGACCACTGCACAGAGCAGTGCTTTGATGAGGGATCTTAAGGCTGAATCAGCCCTTGTGTTACACAGACAGGGTGGAGGGCAAACAGCTCTGGAAACTGAGCAAGCAGGAGAAATGGAGAAAACAAGGTAACTTATAAGAACTGAATCACAATCTCCTGGTTGAAATCGTGCCCCTCTTTGTGAGGTACTATTCAATTCTCAGAACTGAATGAAAGCAAGGGAGGTGGAAAGTGCACCAAAGGGGAAGACATTTTCACGGTATAAGCTGATTAAGGCTGAATTACTTGAAGTACACAATATAAATAATTGCAAAATCCTAGAATGTTGCTCTCCCAGAAGCCCCTAACTTCTATGTCTTGCTTCTCCAGTCTCCAGGGAGCAGCATAATAATAAATGCTGTTTAGACAGCTCAGCCTGTGTGCCCATGCAGTGCTGAAACCCTCATGGCAGCTCCGGGGCTCAGCCCAAGCGGTGCCTCTCTCTCCATCCTTGCTACTGAGTTTTCCAATCCCAAGCCATGAAAATAGCTTGGCATAAAAGAAAACAGAAACCTCTAACAGGTTTATAGGCATTTTTCCAGCTTTGGCATCTATCTCCACTTAAAGTTTGTAGGCTCAAGTCTGCTTTGTGTGTGTTCCTACCCCCTTGCAAATTGTGCTGCCAGAGCTGTCTGAGCTGCAGCAGGACCGATTGACAGCTTTGCCTCCAGCCAGATTTCTGATTCAAAGCAATATCCAAGTCTGTGTAATAAAGTTTGCATGAAATTTTTACCTGCAACAATTCCCCAATGTGCTGAACTGCGTGATACCAACTTATATAATACATCATTTTTGCAGCAGAGTTAAACAAAACGCAAAGCCAGACTCAGTTTGATTTTTCTCTCGTGATCACAGACATTATACCACATCTGAGAGCTATAAGCCATTACCTCCATCATTTTTTAGTATATAAACATCAAATACAACAAGTGTTTAAATCAAATCAAACGTTTAAATGTAGTCTTTTAAAAATATTTCAACTACAAAAATTAAAAATTAAAAAAAAATGCTTTCAGGTAAAAGACTAGAAGCATGTGAAATATTGAAAAGGACTGCCTCAGTATTATTGAAATATTTTAGATTTTTAGAAAATGAAATGTTAGAATGGAGAAATTTCCACAGACAATTGGTTTAGATGAAAACATGTTTTCTAACAGAACAATATTCCATTGAAAAAATTTCCAATTGCATTTTCTAGTGGGCAATTTTTCAATGACATTTTCAAAAGAACAATCTACATCTGAGAAATTTTCCAACAAGCTCTCGTGAGCTCTTAAAGGCAAGAAGAAGTAGTTTTCAAATAATCCATTTTGAAAGGCAGTTATTATTCTGTGTTTTACGCCTTTTACAGCAAAAGCAGCAGACCAAGCACAGGGCAGTTTCCGGACTTTCCGTTACCTCTTTTCTAACTTAAAATACAAATTACTGAGAAATGTTCCCAGACTTTAATTAAGAACCATGAGTAATTTTAAAACAGGTTGTGTTGTAAATGTTGCTTACCTTTGGTAGGGATACACACCTGGGATCCAGACACGGGTGTGTCAGGGCTGGGCCTGAGCTCTGGTGTTCAAGCATGGCCTCCAGTTCCAACTTGGGTCTGCAGCTTGATTTTCTTCCTTATTAGACTGATTTATAATCTGAATTCTGGTGGTACCTGCAAGTCCAATTATTGATCCCAAATCTCATAGCAAGTGCTGTCTAACAGTACAAAACCACCCAAAGAATAACCCAACATAAAACTTGTCCCATCCTTACCCTCTGATGAGATCAGGTAAAGAATCTGCCTGTGACACTATTTACAGGAAACATTTACATTTCCAATTCCCCTTTTGTTTTCCTTATCATTGCTCCCAGTTTTTCAACCACACAATCCCTCCTGAAGCTGACTATGCCTGGCTGGGCATTTGTGCATTTGAGCCCAGGTTTGTGTATATGGGATGTGTATGTGAGGAGGGAAGTGCCTGGTGGCTTCAAGTGACACCTCACAAGCGAGATTTAGCAGAATTGAAAATACCACAAGGATCTACAGCCCAAGTTCCCAGTTTGCACTTCAAATCTGCCAGTTCAGGACTTGGAATCCACACTGAATCCAGCACTCTGACATTTAGGGAAAATCATGGCCTCTTTTCAAGATTTGAATTTATTTCAAAATATGCAGAGGTTGATTTCCTCCAATTCAGAGGGACAGCACTTAGATCTAGACCAGAACCACCTCCCAGCCAGTGTAAATGACAGTGGCCTCTTTCACTTTGTGGCTGTTTTGCAGCTCAACTCTGGGTACAGATCTGCTCTGAGTTCACACCCAGAAGTCAAGAGGGAATAGAGTTTTCAGTCCTTCTCCACTGTCACAGAGAGATGAGGGTTGTGCAAGCTATGGCACACAGTTGTGTCATGAACTTCACTTGACAGGGTCTGGTTGCTTTGCATCACATGAGTTGACAACCACAATGCCTTACAGCACCTGCAGAGTTGGGAATTTACAGATGTACTCGGATACAGAGAAGGAAAGACTGTTCCATGTATTCATTCCTCTCGTTTCACAGAAATAATTAGATCTCTTGTTCTCTGCCACAATCTGTAGTTCCACTTTTCCCATAAGGTGGTTTAGCTGTCCTAAATTACAGATCAAAAAGCTAAATGCTAAAGGCCAGGTTAATTCTCTTGTTTCTCTGTGTAGTCTATGAAAACCCCAGACAGTTCAGAGGGCAATTCATCTCACCCTTGGATAGCCATCTCCAGTAAGTCAGACAAACAGCTCTTTTTGGAGGTGTATCTCTGTTCATTGCAGAAGGAACCTCCTCCAGAGTTTGACATATGCCTTTCCTGTGCCGAAAGTGCAGTGGGATAAATCACATCCACAGCTGTTGCCCATGTACAGAGGGCTCAGATATAAAGCTGTGGTGAGATAAGATCACTGCAGAAACAACCATGGCAGCCTGAGATACTCCATCCCCTCAGCCCCACCAGCCATCTGTTCCAGCCATTCCAGCAGATGGTACTGATCCCTGTGGCACAGCCAGTGGGACACGGACATCCTCCGCGTTCTGTCCGGTGAGCAGTCAGCTGGTTGCTCCTGGAGGCATCTGACGCTGACCTGGCTGAACTTTTTGCTGAAGCAGCTGAGAAATGTTCCTACAGTCCCTCCCATTGTTCAGCTGTGGACTCAAAAGCTCTCACAAGAGGGGCAGGAACAAACCACAGGCAGCTGTTCCGCAAGGTTGCATTATCAGGACACTAGGAATGAATGCAAAATGCTCCTGGAAGGCTTAGTTCTTCCAACTGATATTTTCTTATTTCTGCTTGAGCTACAGAGGATCTCTGAAGAATTATCCAATTTGTTCTATATATACCCCAACTGGTTGTTGTTCTTTGCCCTGGAGGGAGTTGCAAATTGTGTGTGCAGCCCGTACTTTCTGTAAGGAGATTACACACAGAAGTATCCCCTGCTTGCACAGTCCAAGCAGATGGCACTGGGCAGGTAAAGAGCTATTCTCTGAGAAGTGGCAGCTATGAACAGTCTTTCAAACATTAATAACTTGAGAAACACGGTAGCAGAAATTAGATGTAAAGCGACGTAAATTACTTCTAGAAGGTTCCATTACTTAAAAAAATGATGTGCATAAAAGAGAAGAGCAGAAAAGCACAATCCCACAAGCCAACAAGGACTGATCTAGTCTAACAGACGCAACCACAGCATCAGGAGCTCATTGCAAAGACAAGGGAGCAGCTAATCTAGTGAGGGCAACCAGGCCAGATGTTTGTTTGGATTCTGATTGTATTTTCTTGCCAGCTGCTGTGCACCAGCCTGCAGCCCCAAGATGGGGGACTTGGGATGAACACAGTAGCAGAGGTAAATTTGTTATTAAATGCATCTTAAAGGGAGGGATATGGCAAGGAGGGAAGGCTCTGAGGACAATGGGATGTACAACTCTTCATCTGTAGGTCAATTTTTATTGCATTTCAGATCAGCAATTGCGCGGGTCGTTATTATCGGGTCAGTTTTATTGAACCAATTTGGCAATCTCAATACAGCATCTAATGCATAGAGGAAAGATGTTAAAAGACTGAAGAGATTTAGGAGTCTGAGCCCCACTCCTGATCAGTGGAGCTTAAACTCTCCAAGGACTTAAGTGCTTTTGAAAATGGGACGTGGTCTCCTTGGTCATGTACACGCTTCTGAAAGAATTCTCCTCCTCGGCCCCAGCACAGCGTGGTGCTCGCTGGTCTCCTCGCTGTCAATCACGGCACAGAGGTCAAGGACTGAGTGGTTCACAGCAATTACTGGCTTATGAAATTCTCCTTTTCTTCCTCTCAGAACAGTCCCTCCTGTTGAGAGCAGGCGTGTTGGCAGGCAATGATGTAGAGAAATATTTCAGTGGAGAAACAGAGAAACCTGTTGTCTGGAGGAAGCACCATCGTATTTTCCACAAGTAAAAAAATGTTAAAAATTGAGAGATGTACAAATGAACAGGATTCAGAGGCAGGGATAAACTAAATGAGACACTGGCAGATCTGGAAAGATCTGATGTGCCACTGGGACAGTGGAATCTATTTTCTTACAAGTGCCAGGACTACAAAGGAAACCTGCAAGACTGTTAAATAAAACTGGAGCTTTCATTTTAATTAATGCCAGGAAGAATAGCTATTTTCTTCTCTTCTGATTAAAATGGTTATGGAGAAACAAGGCTACAGAGCTGCTCCAGCCATCAGTGGTTGTGTTGCTGCTGCTACCAACCAACCTTCAGCTTCCTCAACTGGGTATGTTCAGAATCTCACCTCGGGGTGTGTGGGGGGCACATCTCAATTTCGTGTCCTGTAGTCCAATTCCACGTTTTTTTCCTCTCAGATTCCACTTATTTGGTCTCACCAGATGTTTTCACCGAGCCAAGTGAGATCTATATTTTTAACGTAATAAATTACCCCCATCTCCCTCTCAGTATCTTTGTCATCACGGGTTAAACAGCTGCTGTCCCTCAGGAGATGCTGGTGGATCAGGAGTTGTGGCGGTGGCTGTGGCCTGACCCACAACCTGGATCCCAGCACCCGAGACACTGGCTCTTCAACACGGCTCCAGTTCCATTCCATACGTGCATCCTGCCAGCAGAAGTCCTCAGCCAGTGAGGGTGAAACAGGAGTGAGCTCTGGGCACCTAACAGAGAACTCTGGGAGCCCCTGCTCCACCTGGATGTGTCCTTTGGTCGCCAAAGAGTTCCATTTTACCTGTTCTTTTTTTACAGCTGATCTTCATCCACCCAGATGGTTTTACGCTGCTCTTCCCCAATCCTGTCTTTTATTATTCGGATGAGATCCTCAATGCTGCTCCAAGCATCTGCCTCCACAGAGGCATAAAGGCAGGGCAGTGCTTCCAGCTCTTTCTCCTTCAGACGGCACAGCCGTAAAAACTCATCCTCAGCCTCCGGCTTTGGCAATAGTTTCCTGTATCAAATGAGCAGACCAAAAATAAATGTCTTACAGTTTAAGTTAATCCTGCAGTCCCAGCGGTCCCACCAAAAATTTATTGTCTACTAACTGTACAAGCAATAAAAGCAGTGGAGAACACAGCTACTCCAGGCCTACCCTCCCCTTACCTCCACGCTACCCCAAGGAAAAATTTTTGCTTATGGGGAAACAATTTAAAGAGGATTGAATGGAGGAGAGTGCAAGTGTTTACAACCTTCCCTCTTCCAGCCAGCACTACCTTAAGAAATGCTGTGGGAGTGCTGAGCACAGAGAAAAACACATATTCTTCGGTCTCATCCTCCCACAATGCTCATTGCTACCAGTGACAGTGAAAGAGTGCTAGATTTGGGGAATTCCTGCTTTCTCCTGTTGTAAGATTTCAGGGAGGAGTCATGGGAGGAAACAGTGCACATACATTAAGAGAGATGAGGTCCTCTATTTCTCTCAGTGAGAACATTATTGGACTCAAGAGTTATTCACTGAATAAGATGGAACATCAAATATGCAAAAGGTTTGATATGTTACCTGAACCTCTTGATGTTTTTCTCTGAGACTCTGATAAAGAGAACAATAGGATATATCTTGGCTTTGATTAAATCCTTTGTGCAGCTTATTCCAGCCTCCAGGAGACAGTGCTTGTTCTAAAAACAAAGTCATAACATTGTCACAGAGGAACATTCACTGCTGTGAAATCTCATGGTAAAGGTATCCAACCCTTATGGGGTCAGCTGGAAAGCTCTCTATTTACCATTGTACTGATTTAAAACCTTTTAATCAAATATAGATTTAAAGTCCAACTCCTCCTACTAGTTTAAACTACTCAGACAAATAACAGCTGAGCTTAACAACCTTTTTAAAAAGGTTTAAATAGAAATGATTTGTTCTAAAGATGAAAAGTATGATAAAATACCAGTTTTACATGTAGACACAAACACACACACTTGCTTTTTGTTCAGAAAGAACATCTACTGCAACTACTTGTGAGAGAAAAAAACATCACTTTAATTCTCCTTTTTTTCCATGCTGTGCATTAAATCTACTCTACTTGACATCAGATCTCTGTCTTTGGCATTGTTATCTTTGTTCTGAACACCCTTGTGTCTGGGTTTCAGGCTTTCCTTTCCTTTGTCTAGGTCCTCATATCTCTTACTCTCTCGTGTATTCATGTGTGCTTATGATACAAAAAGGAAATGAATAAGGGATGGAGCACAGAAAACGAAAGGATATTTTGCTGCATCAATGTGGGTCATCACAGGGAATGAGCGAGAATATAAAAGGATACGGCTGAGGATGGAAAAGAAAAGGAGAAGCCAGAGCACAAATAAAAGCCATTGGGGGGAATAAATACAAATCTGAGATTGAAGGTGGGCAAGAGAGAGAACATGCAGCTGTAAATTGGTCAGTCTCTTATTCAAAGCATTGCAGAGAGGTGCACAGCCAGCCTAGTGAAGGGACACTGAGGACTCTGCACACCTTGGCAGTGACAGCCTCAATATTGGCAGGTACAATACATTCGTATGTGTTCAGATTCTTTTCTCTGCTGAAGATGACAGTCTCTGTCCTTTGCTTCCTTAAGAACTCTTCCTTTGTTACAATATCTAGAAAGAGATGTGAATGGGGACAAAATCAAGTTTACAACAGCAGAACACGTAGAAAACTATCCAATAACACTTCACCCGGGATGCAAGGATGGTTCAGGGAAGGAAGACGAGCAATGAATTGTCTTAACAGCTGCCTCATTTCTTCCATTGAATTCAATTAAAGCCTAATCTGATCACAGCTGAGCATCTCAGCTATATCCTGCACCAATGAGTCCTTGGGCAATTACTACAGCACTATGAAGACATTAAATTAAAACAGTAAATACAATTCCAGCACCTAATGTTATATAGCAACAGTTCAGGGATGGAGGATGCTGAGAAGTGCTAAAAAAAGGAGGTCTCTTCAGCACAAGATCCTAAAGCAGGGATTTAGTGTTCCAACATTTGTGTTTAAAGTTTCAAAAAAATTTGGCTTAGGTTGCAATGTGTGATGCCGGCCCCCTTGTGAATTGCAGCTCTACATCAAAGCTTTTGTTTTATGTTGCAAGACAGGGGATATTTATTATAATACTTAACTTCTCAGCTTCTGTGTCTGGATGACTGTAAGGCTGCACTCTATGTGGTGGGTATTCAATATTAGTGTAAAAATGAAACGTCAGCTCGGTTTAATGCTGTGTTGTGTACAATCCTGCCCTCCAGCCATCATGGTACTGCTATTGCTTTAATAGTAAATACTTAGCATGGAAGAAAATCAGTCTTTCGAGTAGATCAAATGCACAATCTTCACAGCTTGGATGAGACAGAAACCTAAAGTCGCTCTAGGGAAGATATTCCTCATAATAGCAAATACTAGAAACAAATTAATCAAAATTTCACATTGCCTAGATATGCAGTATGCAAACAGTATGCAAACAGAAAGAGCACTCGCAGCATTTCAGTCTCTGAGGGGCAGCCTAGCAACCACACAGCATACACATGGATAATATTTATAGACACAGAATCTCATAACCATGTGCACTGGCTGTCTCAAAAACATTCAAATATCTCAGATAGTCTCAAAAAAAGCAAGATTTACAGCTACACATCACTCTGATGTGACTTGAAGTACCTCAAGCAACTCTCCCACGCTCATGGCCCTACGTGTGTGCGCATATATATGTTCGTATTTCCAGCACTGAGGGTGGCAGTCATGGCCCTCTTTTATCCCGTTACCTGGCTTGCATATGTTGAATTCCAGGGCACCTCCAGAGTTGAGAAGTTTCTGTACCAAGGGCTTGGCAAGCATGGTGGGGGTGAAAAGCACTGGGCGCCTGCGCTCACAGTGGATGGGTCTCACCAGACTATAGGGGATCAGACTGAGCTTCTTATTGATTTCACTTTCAGAATCCAAATCTGAGTAGAGAACAAGACATTCATCCTCTGGTTTCCTCTCCATCGATATTTGGAGAAAAAGAGGAGAAACACATGAACCAGAAATAACACGGTCAGTCATACTGGTCCTCCTTTCCCTTTGGCCAGGGTTGTCTTTACTATGTATGCAGCAGTATGATGTCCAACCTAACACTAAGTAATTTAAGTGCCTTTTGCTTTCAAGAGATTATTCCATAATCTCTTCAACACGACACTTGCTTGGGGCTTCTTTCTGCTTCTTAGTTTGGCTTTCTTTGAGTTCAATGTTTTTGAACAAAAAAGCAAGAAAGCACTTAGGAAGAACTTCCAGCCAAACAGGAAGTTTCAGTGTCCTAAACTTGCTCATGAAGGCTTAGTGCCCCAAGCACTTGTAGCAGAATTAGTGCCATGTGTGTAAAAGCTATTTTATGTCCATACCTTCTAGTTTCTCAGGCAACTGCTTCTTTGCTTCCGATGAGGTCCGTGCCAGACCGGAGGGCCAGCCGGTGACGATGCGGACGCGCTCGTTGCTGTTCATACGCTTGTATTTGTTTTCGGACCTACTGACAAACTGAAAAGGTGAACAAAAAAAAAAGAAAAAAAAAAGAGATTTGACCCTCATTTCTTGCATTGTTTATTCTCCCATCAGCCAACACATGTTACCTACGAGGTCTGAATTACCAATGTCTATCAAAGACAGGACTCCATGGATCTGTTGGCCGAATTGTAAGACTCTTTAAATATCATAGATCTGATTCAGAGCCTTTGCTAATCCCCTTTGGGATTTCTTGTTTTGTTCTCTGCTCTTAAGAGGCATGATTTCCCTTCACAGAGCTCCCTGCTATCACCAGCACAAGCACTGATGTGCCCTCAGCAGAGTAACATACCCAGAGTATGCGCACAAATGTGTCACAGGTTCTACCCAAATTGCCTCTTTTTTGCTCTACCAGAGAGACTTAAAACCTCCCATATGGCACCTTTTACAGTCATTTTACATGAGAAACAGGTTTCATGCTTTCCTTCCTCATCCACTCAGCTATCCCTCTATCCAAATATTAATTCCCCCTCCTGTGTATTTGCTAACCTTCACAACCACCTTCCTTCACAAGACTATCTTTCACCCAACACAGTCTCTGTCACGCTCAGAGTCACTGACCCACAAATAAAGGACTATTTTCTGATGGAGCCTTATCTCACAGACTTGGAGATTTGGTCTAGCCCAATGGATTTGTCCTTATGGTTCAAGCAAAACACATTTCAGCCTCTGATGGCAGACATGTGGGATTCCTCAAGGTACATCAGTAATGGAAGGCATGCTCTTAAAAATGAACACCCCACATCACCAGAGAAAACACAACCCATCCTTCTCTTTCATGTATTAAATCTCTTTTTGATAGGAATAAATTCCAATACAGCCTCTATACCTGAGCTGGGATTTCTGGGGGAATTAGGATAGCCTGAGAATATCTGCTGTTCAGATCCACTATTTCAGACACTGTATTGAAGATTTGAACTTTATTACCTGTAAAATCTGGCCCAAAAGAAAGCTGGCTCTGGATAGGCGAGGGCTGGTTTTTGGGTCGTTCGGCTGGGCAGGCTCCTCTGGCTGCAATGTATTCTATCAAAATTAACACAGGAATTTTTCTTCCCCACCCTCTTTTTTATATATTTTTTTTTAATCATAACAACTGAGAAAAAAAACAAGCAAAAGCAGATACTTTATATTTCCAAATAAAGGGATACTAATTGAGATCTATCCCAAATACAACGTTCTAAACAAACTGCAGACATAGCATGGCCTATGCTGAGAAACCCTGCTCATTCACTGCTCTTCCACATTCCCTTTTTCATAGGAGACTGCTCTCCACACCTCAAGAAAGAGGTAATTTCTGCACCAAGACAGAACATGCAAAGCTCTTGCTTTCACCAGCACCTCTGCCAGTGATCTCTGTCCCTCTGATCAGTGGGGACACAAGTACAGAAGGAATGTGTGACATTTAACCTTGACTGAAATCAAGTACAAGCACTGTCTACCTGCCTCTGCAAATGTTAGAAACATATGTGTCTCCCAGACTCTAAAAATAACTTATGGTAACTAATACACCCAGAAGGTAGTTTTAATTGTGTAAAGATGGAACTTTTGGGTCTAAAGAAAGAAAAATCAAATTATTTTGACTGATAGAAAAGGAGCTATTGTGTGTGAAGACTTGATAATCCCAGTTCTCTCCATAGCTTGTAAATTAGAAGAGACAGGTCTTTATAATATGGGACAACGGGCTCTGTGGGTTAGAGGTTTGTTCGCAATAGGAGACATAATTCTGATTATTGACTCTAAGGACACAATTTCTTCCCCATGTGCATATGAAAGTGCATTGGAGGTTTACAGGCTGAGAAGAATGGAAAGGATTAACTAAAACACAGAACAGAGATTTGACTTTTGAAGTGTGCTCCCTCATAGCTGGAAGGGTTAATTGTGAGTCAGAGCTACGTTCACTGCCAGGGACAATATTATTTAAAGTAAACATAAGATACCCATTTCCTGGCACAATCAAAACCTACACAGAGTGTAAACAGGACTTTCTGTAAACTGATGATGAAAACGGAAAAATGAAAAAAAAGTACCAGGGAAGTATCAGGTGTTAAAAAGACCTTGTTTGTACATACTTACCCGGAGTGCCCGAAGGGTGTTATAGGAGTTTTCTGTCTCATCTTTGCATCCTCTGTGCATCAACCGCTGCAGCTTCACCAGAAGAAGTTGCTGGGCTCTGAAAGAAAGAACGGAATCGCATTGATCAAGACATTTTTGAAACCACTCAAAAGAAAGCTGGATTGTAACGGCTCTGTGCCTACAGAAAGGATTGAATAGAAATAGCAGTGAGGACTGACTGAACCACGCTGTAAATGCAGGAACAAAATAATGAGCAGGACTGCAGTGCAGTTAAGGATTAAAGAATCTCCACGGCATATTTTCACATGATACTTTTTTGAGTAACCCACATTATTCTTTCAAGTAACAACTGGAATCTCTTTTCTACAGCTTTATAGCTTGTATTACAGTTTAACATCACCAGCCCTTATGTCAAAAATTAAGACATATACCTCTTTCCTTACAGCAGTCATTCATGTCCCTGTTCACAGAGCCACTGCTCTCACTCGTGGTCACTCAGCATCACGCTCACCTGCTGTAGCTGGGGATGGTCCCCATTTCCAGGTCTCTGTCCGTGAATGGATCCACCCTGGCACAATGCCACTCACACCTGCCCTGGTACATGGTGTCCAGGATGTGGACGATCTCATCACACCTCACGGACAGGGAGCAGCAGTCCAGCTGGCTGGAGATGTTCAGGTTCAGGCGGATGTGAAACGAGTCCCCCGACGTGATCAGCCCTTCCTCCAGCTCCGACAGCAGCTTCCTGTAACCTGCAGCAGTGAGGGAAGGGGTGAAGCAGGATCTCACACCATGGTGTTGCTGCATTCCCGGGAATCCTCTGTGAGAAGCCACAGCACAAACTTCTGAGGCTCCTCTGAGAGGGGGTCATTTTCAGAGTTCTGGTTACACTGGTTGCAGCAAGGTCGTGGGCCTGCCCCTTAGAGACACCAATGGGGCTCAGGGACAGCTCGTGCTGTTGGTGTCAGATCTGTGAGAATATTCTCATTCTAATGCTACTTTTAGGGAACTCCATTTTCAGTACTCCACCCATGACCTGTGAAACAGAGAACTCTGCAAAGACACAGACACAGCCATAGCTCCATCTAAGTTCAGTGTGAGTTCTGCCACCAATTTAATGACAAGCTATTCTCCTTATTATTAGCTCTAATTGGCACTCCCAGAATCTATAACATGCTTTATCTGCAGTTAAGTGGTGCTCAAAAAAAAATTGCAATAGTCTTTCCTATGTCTGAAAACATCAAAGAAAATCAAAGACATCACTTTGTGCGTGATCTATGCAGCTGAAATTCTCTAACCAGCACACCCCCTCCCCCCCCAAAACAAAAGCCAATTTACACATATCAGTAAAAAATGGATTTTGGAACATAACTTTTGATCCATAACCTGAAATTATCATTATAGGCCATGAACACAAAAATCAAATTCTGTTCACCAAACATGAACTCCAGCTGTTAAAGATAAGATAAAGCCACAAAGGTAATAAACAGGGCAACTCCATCAGGTAAATGCTAAATCGACCAGCTGGATAAAGATCACTCAGCTCACCACACTGTATTGCAGAAAACTGTACATAAAAATAAGCTTGAATGTGTTTTGTGATTCATGTCTTCATTGGCCCACCATGTAAATTCTTCAGAATCCTGTAGTGACAAGCATATGGGCATTTTTTGTTCTCAGTCACAAGGCTAAAAGCTGGAACAGTTCCAAAGAGGAGCTGTAATTAACACCAGTGGCATTCTCCAGATTTATCCCAATACAAAGGATGTTCTGGTTTTGTCATTCTCTTCCAGACAGGTTGCTGTAACAGACCTGGGACTATTTGAGATAAGAAATACTTCTGGTCTTACCTTCATGATTTGATTTATACTGGAGTGTTACTGGACCACTGCACCTCTGAATTGTCCAGTGAACTTCTTCCTTTGTGCAAGTATCCAAGGGAACACTCTGATTTTCCCCTTTAATGCAGCCCTCCAACTAGATATGAAAGAAATATTACTTTCCAGTGCAGGTTCACTCTCTAAGTCAATTATACCATTTTTTTTTAAAGTGTCATAATCTTTTTCTGATTAAACAATGCAGACACTTTGCTATTGGGATGTAAATTATGTTGTAATTATTTAATTTCTTTTCTATCAAATTAGGAATGCCAGAATTCAACAGAACTGCAGCACTTTGGCAATCCCAGGCTTCCCAGGAGTAAGTAGTGCAGGAACATAAATTGTGGGATGGGGTTTTTTTTCCCCCTTGGAGGCATTTTAATAGGAAAATGTTTTGGGAACATTGGCAATAGAGAGAAAACTGAGCAAAGAGAAACTTAGCAGGAGCACTGTTGAACTTATGTGAGACCAGGGACAGCACATGTAGGTGGCCAGACATCCAGAACTGTTTGGTGATCATTTCCAGCTCACCAGGAGGATTTGGTGGCCCTCCCGAAGTCCAGCTTTCTCCGCAGGTGATCCTGTCTTGACAGAGCTGATGAAGCTCCCCCTGTCGTTGCCCCCCACCAGGGTGATCTCGGAGTTGAGGCTGTCCCCGTTCAGCGTCACGCGCTGGATCGCGTGGCACGAGTTCCTGAGGCGGCCCACGGACGTGACAGAGGGACGAAAGGGCCTGTGGTCATGAAAGGAAGTGACAGTTACCTCAGTCTCAGTTAAATGCATGATAAATGAGGGACACACAAATAAACTTTCAGTATTATCAGGCACTGAGGACTCTAACAGAAATCCTTCTCGATGCTGCACAGGTTCTGGAGAAGGGCAGCTGGACAGCTTCAAGTGCTCTGGCATGACTGAGTAACTCAGTGTGTAACAGTACTCTGCTCAGCAACCTCTTGCAGCAAGACAGCAAGATCACAATAAATTGTGATAATTCAATAATTCAGGATAAATTCAAGCCTTTAGAAAATTTTGTCTACCTTGAAGTTTTTGAAATTTTAGGATGGCCTTTGTGGATTTAGAGGACATGAAAGGGCTCTAAGATGACATGTTATACTGCCACCATAAAGAAGTAAAGACTTAGCACAGGTATTTGTGTCAAATAACAACTTGTGGCATCATTCCTGCCATATCTTCAGCAACTAATAGATAAATAGAGGACCTCTACCACAACAGACTGTCCCCTCAGTTTCTGTCAACCCAAATACCTTTCCAGAGAGAACTTCCTAAACAGGGAGTTGACATGCTCAAGGTCATAGGCATCCAGGCCTTCTGACTGATGAGAAGAAGAGGAAGAGTGCACTGAAGGAGCTCCGTGTGACTGCCTGTCATGACTGTCATCTGGAAAGAGAAAGAATAATGAAAATGAGTTCTAGATAGAGTGGCAAAAATGCAAAAGGGGAAAAGGAATGTTTGATTGGTCCCAGCCAAAGCTGAAGGAGGAAATTCCTAATGCAGAGGCACGATTCATATCTGCTGGACACAGCACAAGGAATGCCAGCCTTGCTTACTGGACCTTCCTGATCACTGTACAGAACAGCAAGTGGGAAGGGGGCTCTGGAGACTCTCTTGTCTAAGTCCCTGTTCAGTGGAGGGTCAACTCAAGGAGATTGCTCAGGACTTGTCCAGTTGGGTTTTGAATATCTCCAAGGACGGAGACTAGTCAACATCTCTGGACAACCCTGTTCCAGTGTTTGACCACCCTCATGGTAAAAAAACTAACCCTCTTCCCACTCAGTTCTTCAGGAATAACTGCTTTCTCATTCTCACCACTAGCTGGCCCTTTGTTTTCTTGATTTATTCTCAGATTGTGTGTCCCATTATTTAGAGCAGGAGTTGGTTATTTGCCAGTCTCTGATTAGCTGGGGAGCTAATCACACAGATCTCATAGTTCAACTACACACGTGATATCCTCTTGCTTACCATCCAGCTCCAAAGCATCACATCCAAAGCTGTCATTGTCCTCTTCAACCAGGCTGGAATTAAAAACAAAGCATGAGATAATGGAAGAGAGAGTGAGAGGAGGGGGGAGAGGGGGAGAGAGAGAGACAGAAAGCTGTTCACTTGTCAGCTTTCAGCAGATTTCCAACCTCAGCAGATTTCATTAAGTTCTGAAGGAGGAACTTCTGTGAAAAAGGAAGAAGTTGGAGGTGTTGTGTCAGGCAATGGCACAGCTGCAGAAAAATCAAGCCAGCAATGTACTTGTGGGTCCAGGGAAAATGAGGGAAAATGGCAGGAAGACAATATGTGTCAGCCAAGATGGGAAGCATGGGAAGCAGCAAGAAGGTTCAGAGGGAAGAACTGCTAACAGCAGTGAGGGAATGAAGACCTTGCTGAAGCCAAAGGGAAGCTGCTGACTGATGGTCTCATGTGTGACTCACACCACATCTGCTTCAGCACCGAGATAAATGGCTGCATAATGCCTGCTGTACATACCATGGGCTTTTTCCAAGATATATCAAAAATGTCAGAAGCTCACTGATGGACAGAGTGAATGCAAGGGAAGGGACTGAGGTGCAGCAGTAAAGGAGTAATTCACCTGCTTGATTTAAAACCCTTGAAGCATTTTATATCAGTTTAATGGTACCTCACACCGTTACTGGGGTACCTACAGTACAGAATGAAGGTGTACCAGGCACAGAAACTGCCCCAGCTCTGCTCCCAGTCCAGCTCCCACTGACACAGTCCTTCCTGTGAAAGGTGGCTAAATTGGTTGGCCTTAAAAACAAACAGTCAAAATTCACTAAAATTTTTCTCTTCCAGGGATATCGGGGCTGTCCAGCCAAGTGAGTGATCTGCCTGCTTCCCTGGAAGGACTTCATTAAAGCATGTCCTTTGTTTGCAAAGCTGTTTAAATAACAGCTTGTTGTTTTTCCCATTCAGAATGATTTGTAGGTCTCCTGTGGAGCTGATATTCCTCATATTTGGCTTCAGATGAAGGGTGAATTTTTGCAGCCAGGCTGCAGAGAGTCAGCTATTTTTATACCATGCATAAGCAGAGAAATAATATACCTTTTCCTACATTAAGTGATGATCTCACTTTTTTTTCCCCCACACAAATTAAGATCAGATGAACTGTAAAACCTGCATCTTGGCATGCTAATAGCAAGTATTTGGTATTATGTTGACAAATAAGTTAAAAAAAATTTACCAGGCTAATTATGAAGTTATAAACTACAGTGAACTTTTGGGCACGTTCTTGAGATACTTGACTTTAGTGATTACAAGCTCAATAAAGATTACATTCAGATCTTGCTCCAAGGTACCTTTTCCTTCCACATGTTGGTGGGAAAGAGTATCTAAGGGAAAATTCCAGATTCCACTACAACTAAGTCTTCCAATGCCTTAACTTATGGAACAGAATATAGTTAGAGCTACAGTGAAATAAGTCCACAAGATGAATAATCTCCATGTAACCTGTACTGCATTCTGTAATATACTGCAAATATTGAAAAGTTCAGGCATGCCAAAGGCATCTCAAGCACCTGAAACATGAACCATTCAAATCATTAATAAAACAACCTTTTTTCTCCATCTTGAATTAATACAGCACACTTAAAAAGGGGACTTGGAGGACGATATAGGAGAAGCTAAGGGAGACTAGAATAAACACTGCCTAAATCCTCAGCAGCCTAGAAAATAATAAGGGAGAACCAGCTGAGGATGCCCTCAATGGAAAGCTGCCTTGCAAAGCTGTCCAGAAAGAGAGAGGCAAGTGGCTGTCTGCCCAAAATCAGTTTTGAAAAACATAAAAATCTGAATAAAGTTCTAACAAAGATTAGATATTAAAACCAGATCTAATAAAGACCCCTCACATATATTGCTTTCTTCTAAATTGCTTTGCTTTGGATTTTTCTTCCTTCTGCTTGGGACCTTTGGGGACTGTACTTGTATCTTCTGATGTTTCTGATACAAACACTGATGCCATTGACACCAACACGGTGTGGCACAGATCTTTCAGAAAAGGAGTCAGTGCCATTTAGGGAACTGTGAGGCAGGAGAGGTCTCTCTCCTTCCTGCCACCGACTTCCCACTCACCAGCTGATCTGATTTCTATGCCAGGGGAAGTCCACAGGGCCGTGACCCCACACAAGTGGAAGCTGCAGCAGAAGGTGAAGCCGAGGGCAATGCCTCTCTCTCCCCTCATTGCTATGCTGAGATACAGAGCCCTGAGCCTGACAAAAACCACCTCCCTCCTCCACTTCTCCCCCCTGTTCTTCACAGCCATTCAAGCAGCTCTGCTCTATTTTGGCAGCTTTACAGAGCAGAAGGAGGGGCTTTGAGAGAAGGGGAAAGGACAGGGACAGACACAGGCAGCAAAACCTGAAGCTGTATCGGCGTACGAACGTAGAGCACTTTCTCCAATAGCACTGGTGCCATTTCAGTACTATTTCTATTTATGTACATTAAGAAGTCACTGTTGCAGGGGTATCACTATCATTCATCCCAGCTGAGCTATCAGAGACCCCTGAGTGTTTTGGACAAGATGTGGGATGAAGGACTGTAGCCTTGAGAAGTTTAAGCAAGTTAATCCTGCCGCCTTATAGAAGCTCCTCAACTAGAGCCAGACACAAGGACATCTGTGGCCCTTTCTGCCTTCTCCTTGTGACAGCAGGTTCCAGACACATTTCCCCAGCGTGGAGACCCACCTGCAATGAGGGGCGTCCTCTTTGCACCGCCGGACTATGGAATCATTTCCTGGAGGCTCGGGAGTGGTCGACATGATGCTGTCATTGCGATTCCTCAGCGCTTGCTTTAAGCAAAACACCAAAAAGGTGTCAGCAAGGTTATCTGTCTGAAATGCGCTCTCATTTCTAACTCACAGCTGCATTAGCCTGTGGTCCTCCGCTCCCACACGACAGTAAGAAAAATTGATTCTGGCTGTGCAGAGTGCTGCATACAGGAGCATTCATATATTGCAGCGTCTCAGCACTGTGCACAGCTTGGGTGCTGGCACTGTACCTTTTCCTGGGACCACAGGGCTGCCTGATTTACTAAATCACTGTAACTTTACCCTTGATGTGTGCATGTGTTGCACAGCTGACATACAGGATGAAGAGGATGCAAAGCAGAACGTATGCATACTCATATATATATAAATAAGGAAGAAAAATACGTATCTCCGTACATTAAATTATTAATCTCCCAGTACAAACTAAACTTTGAATTGTAGGAGAGGGAAGACAGTGTAAATCATCTAAACATCCAACAGATATTCCAAAGAATATTCCTAACCCTGCTAAGCTTATTAAAAGTGGCAGGGAGTTCTTTCCTGGCTATTCTTGAGCATAATTTTAATTTCCTGGGGGCAGCATTTTTCACGGTGTTCTAGAAAGATGTTTTGTTCTTTGTTATTAACACTCTGCGAGAGCACTCTCTCTATCTGGTTGTCCTGCTGTGTCAGTGCTCACATATGTATAATGGAATATCTACCTTGGGAGATTACGGGGATACAGCAAGCAGGGAAGAAATGGTTTGAGTATGGTATGCAGAAATTTCCAACTGTGATCTGCACCCCTTTTCTCACTCACTGATACTTATAGACAGGAAAGGCATTAGGGAACTCAAAAAATGCTTAAAATTTTCTTAAATAAGTTACAAAGCAGCTTTGAAAGCAAATCTTTTTCTTCTAACAGTAAATGTGAAATGGCATAAGGAGACAGTGAGAGGTCATAAATACCTTTGAAACATCTTTAAATAAACATAAACCAATTCTGTTATTTTGGAAAAGGCTAATAACAGGTTCTAACAAAATGCTGGTAAAAGGATTAAGGGAGCCGCTGACAAGGGCCTTGAACGTGATCACAGCTGGGATGCTGGGGAGTGCTAATGCTAGGTTGTGAGAGCTCTGAGCTACAACAGGAGGAACAGTCTAGACAGGTCAGGGGCACGTGGAGGCTCCTTACAATCTTGCTGACTTCACAGCTGCTGATGGAGACAGAAGAACTCGTGTCCGTGCGGCCGTTGCTGGCGTCGGCCCCGTCCTCGTCCTGCGCTCTCACTGCTGCGCTCGTGGGAGACAGGGAAACACAGACAGCACAGGAAACCAGGTCAGATCACTGCCCAGACAGAGTTTGTCACAGATGTGCAACAACACTTCGGTTATCTTCCCATTTGATCTTGTTTCCCTTACCCTGTACTGGACACACTCTGTGCCCTGCAGCTCCGGTTCCCTTTCCTTTCCCATCAGCTCCCAACAATGCACACAAAGGCCCAACACCCTGGACAGACTCTGTCTCTCAACTCTGTTCTGTATGTTTTTAATAGATCTATGAATGCTGTCTGCAAATTGAAGAAGGATTGTTTCATCAATTTGTGTTTTAACTTCATCTCCTGAATCTGGCGGTCTGCAATAAGGCTGACTCACTGATCATGCTTTTTTTCACAACAAAAAATTCACAGCATGGACCAAGAAGCCTGAGATCCCTCAGCAGCTCCAGATAAAACAGTGTCAATGTCTTTGTGGACTCCTTTCCTTCCTCAGCACCTCTGATTTGTACTAGTGATGCTCATTGCCTGATACCAAACCTACTATTTAACATGGAATATCTTGGAGCAGAAACAGTGTTTCCCACCATATTTTGTAAAAAACAGGGATCCCACTGCCACACATAACAACTAAAGGAAGTGCTGCCTACAATGGTGTTTGGTTTGAGAGCAGTTTTACATAAATAAGCGGAATTAGGAGTAGTTCAAACATGACTATACAGCAACAAACTTGGTAACTTGGCAGCTGGCTGGTGGGTGGGTCAATCACCCTCCCCCAGCCTTTGCAATGCTTTAGATTTAAAATTAATTCCCTTTTGCTGAAGGACAAAAGAACTCATTAGACAATGACTTGATGAGGGCCTTTTCAGCTTGAATGATTTTTCCAACAGCAAAGGGAGAATGGTATAATGACTTCTAGTACAGATGTTACACAAATGACTTTAAAATTTTTGTAAACTTAAAGGGAAAATCAAGTAAACAGAAAATTTAGGTAAGCTATGGGATGCAGTATTTTGTGTGTCTGTGGAGTTATCTTTAGATGGAGAGGACATTCAGAGAGAACACTAGACTGCTTTATATTATGACACGGGTAACTATGAGAGAAACTGCCTATTTTACTGACTTGGACTTAGTTAAGACTTTCCCTGGTTGGCATATTTGTTAAAACAACTTAAAGAGATTAAGTGAATGAGACAAAGCAGTGGAAAAGGAATAAGAACATGGATGCTCTTTCTGACCTTGAAACTCTGATGTTTTGTTCATGCTGACAGGGGATTTAGCTCTTGGACTTATCTAAAAGAAAGAGGACAAAAATCAGCACAAATGCAGAATACTTGCCACACACTGTAAACCAGATATTTTCACCCCTTTTTTTTTTCTCCGCTGTTATGCTGCAATATATTTGCCCTCCTTTAAACAACAGGACCCCAAATTCAGAAGATATTTAGCTATTTAAATGCCATGGCAGCCATCGAGGGTTGGCTACTTGACTGCTTTGGAAAGTCTGGCCCAAATGCCTTGTAATTTCCAGATTCTGCCCAGGGAACAAAGAGACAAAAGGTGAATTGGGTGCCTTGGGACTGGTTTCAGGCAGCTATTAATACAATGGGCATCATTTTGGAGGGCGCAATGTGAAAAATGCAGCTCCGTTGCCATAAGTAATAATGACAGTCAGAGCTCAGAAAGGTTATGAAGGGCAGGGACAATTCAAACGCAGATAAAAGGAAAGGGAACCTCAAAACCCCGAATGTTAGATTTTATATTTTTTACAATTCATGAATGTAGCATTAGGTAATAGCTGTGTGAATGCAGCTAGTCAGGGAAATCATGAACCTAACCCATGCTGCCCCTTCTTCTTAGGGGAGAGGAAATTGCCATAATTTAATTCCAAATTAGACAGTTAATTTTGCTCTAGATTGTGTCCATTTCTTTCTATTTTTCCTTCCAGCTGATGTGAGCTTTTTCACCAATGCTTCTTTTTTCTCCTTCAGTGTGTGTTGGACCTTGGGCATTATGTAATTTTTTTCCCACTAATGTTAAGGAGGCAAAGAATCAATTTATTGACAATGCTCCAAGAACGTGAATGAACAGCAGAAGCAAGATGAAAACACAAAATGGGCACAAGGGACAGAAAATGGCCTATGAAGCCTGATTATATCTGCTCCTCAAGATGCAAATCACCACAGGGCAAAACCTGACAGCTCACTATCAGACACGAAACAATTCTTATCTTTACACCACAGCCCTTTCAGAGGCACGACCACAACATGTGCTATGTCTGCTAGTTCTATCAGTATCAACATATCATTCCACATATCATTCCAGCCTCACATTCAGACACACCTGGATTCCCTTCAGATTCAGTCTTCTCTTGAGACGAGCTTGATCAGGCAAGAAGAATTTGTTGTCTTCTGGAGAGTCTTCAGAAGTGGAGGAGTCATCGGCTTCCTGACCGTTGGCTTTTGGGCTGGAATTCCCGAAGGTCTGGGAGATAATGGTAATGGGTAGATTCCGTGGCAAACTCTAAAGATCACAAGGAAACACTTTACTTCTGAGACCAACTTGGTACAACTCATGACCTTTATTTAGAGTAATCTGGTTGAACATGTTGTGACTCCAGTGCCTCAGAATCTTATGCAGAACATGGTGCCAGACCCAAATCAGTAATTTAGATTATTTGTGGGGATTCCTGTTCACTGGGGCATGTTCCTCAGAAGTACTTGTAGTTTCTATCCCAGTGTAGAAAACAATTGGTTTGTTGCATTTCATTCCCTTCCATTTAAAAATCAAGCTGTGAAACTCCAGCCTTTGGGAAACCACATCCATGACAGACAACCTGAACCACACTAGAGAACAACTCACAGCATTCACATTTAGTAGGAAGAGATTATTTTTTTCAGTTAATTCATGGAGAGAATTAAAAAAGCCCCCTCTCCCTTCCACACCAGAATGTTTGTAAAAGCAAGCCTTAACCAAAGAAATCACACCTGTGTTCCTCAGCCCTACCTGGTCGAGGAAGTTGTTGTCCTTGGAGAGCCGCCGGAGTTTGCACTCCAGGTTGACAATACACGCTTCCTTCCGAACCACCTCGATCCGGAGCTCGTCATTCCTCTCCTCCAGCTCTCGGATCTGCTTCCTGTACTTATCCTTCTCGATCAGACAGTGTGAGTACTGCGTCTGAGCCTCGTCGCGCGAGCGGAACGCCTGCGGTGGGGAGGAGAAACCTCTTCGGCACCTGGGCACCAGACACTTCTCCTGCTGGGTTTGTTTGTGAGGTGTTTGGAACAGGGACTTCAGAACTGGCACCCAGTCACCAATTAACACAGCAGTAAGGAGCTGGATGTGCCACAGCAGAACCATTAAAAATTATGATGATGAGGGTGGTTCATTTACAGCTCCCTCTTGGTTGGTGGGAAAATGCTCCAGAGTGCAAATGGGGTGACTTAACACTGACATAAAGCCTTGCAGTGGCTGTTGTTAAGACCTTGGTCCTGCCTGCCAGATGCTACACAGTGGAAACAACCCAATATTATCCTATGCTTAATTACTGTAATGCAAATTCCAACAAGTAATTCTTTTAACTGCTTATTTTATAACGGTATTTTGGGCCCAATTACCCACAATTCCCCAAAGTGACACAGAAGAGATGTAGGCTTTTGCTACTGATTTCCCCCACTTTAACTGTTAGATACCTGGTCTCGCTCCTTTTCCACCTCTTCCAGTTGTATCATCACAGTGTTCATACGGTGCTTGTACATCTCACAGTCTTTTCCTAGTGTTGAGCACTTCAACTCCAAATCCTCTTTCTCCTCAAGATACTGGAAATGACACACTGTTAACCAGCACTGCTCTCAGAGGCCTTTTGGGCACCACCCTGAGACATTCCATCTCTCTCCCCTTCTGCTTCTCACCTTGTCTCTCAAGTCCTCCACGTGACGAATCTCCTCCTGGAGATTAAAGATCTTGTTGACCAACTCGTGACGATCTTCCAGTGCCTCCTTACGGTCGTGTTCCAGAATGTCCAGAATGGCTTTGTCCGAATCCGGCAAACTCCGCTTGTCAGCCTGAGGAAAGACATTGTCATGAGCCAGGCCAGGGAAACAGAAGATACCATTGCAAGGAGAGAAGTAACAGAGACAGTAACATGCAAGAGGAATAGAAAATGAACAAGGTATTGCAGTGGGAAAGCAGGAGAAGAGATAGACATCTGTTCATATTTTAAAACAGTGTCAGAAAACATAAATAAAGGCTGTCTTGCTGTCAGAATAGTCTGATGATGGAATTGTTTTACTGGTCTATTGTACTGGCTATAATTTGATCCACATTGGATGCAGTGACAATTTTTCTCTCCAAGCCCTGCATTCAAAACTTTTTTCTATTAATCAGCTCTCACTGAGCACAAAAATCACCCTTTGCCTAAGAGCAGAGCCTAAGAAAACATTCAGGGGAATTTTTAAAGCATGCACAGCCTTTGCAGGGCTGTGCTCAGAGAATATTAAACATGGCTGGAGTGGCTTGTACCATTGTTTCATTTTCTATACTGCCCAGCAATATTATTTCTTTCAGATTTAAAATTAACACGATTACCAGAACATGTTCTGACACATAAAGTGTCATCTAAAATTAACCATAAAAGGAAGATTTAAAAAGCATAAAATTGCCAGCACGGAATATGCATATTTATTTTTGAAATATCTAGATTAAACTGGAGATTTTAGGGACATTTTGGTTATCCAATATTTCTAAGCATTTCTAAAACAAACTGCTTAGAGTTTGTCTATACTTTTGCTTTGGAGTATTTCAATCCTATTTTCAGATATTTCATGATTATTTCTCTGTTCCTTTAAGTGCTATAAGATCATTTCAATTAATATAAGAGATTCCACATGGATCAGAACTCCCAGAACCTTCTACACCACACCCTTTTTCAACCTTTAAATTGGATTTGTGTTAGAACTAGGAATCATTAGGCACTGCTAGAAGCTACAGCCCTTTCTGAAAGACATTCTATTGACAATTTTTTGAGTGTCATTTTAAAATGCCACAAGCCTTTTCTAACAAAGCGCTAAGTACTCTCACAGGTACCCTAATATTTGGCTAAGCTTTTCACAGGGGAGTTCTAAATTTGCTGCATCACATTTTTCCCTGTGCAAGTTACAGCAGAGTTCTACAGGGCACCCTGGTACCCGCTGAACACCCAAGCACAGAGACCTTTATCACCCTCTGCTTCATTAAGACTGTTTGGCACAGATATGACAGTAGCCTAAAACAGGGTACACAGAGCCACTGGCAGAAATTTCTGGGCTGCATTTAGCACAGCTCTGTGGTGACAGGCTGGTACAAGGAACCACAGCAGGGCAAACCACAGAGTTGAATGCTCAGCAATTAAACAGCTGCACTCTGCACCTTGAAGGAGCCAATGTCTCCTGTACAGCTTGATTTATTAGATGACAATTTTTTTTGGAGCACTCCTCCTCCTGCACGTGTTTGTGCAAAGAGCACCACAGACAGCTGGGAGCTGTACAACCAACCTTCTGTTTATCCAAACTGCACTTATGCTTGTTGTAGCTTTGCAGGTGGAGGTTTCACCCAACACTTCCTGCACTATAACAGGAGTGTGTGTGAGTTTGAGGTGAGGAGCAGTAGCAGAGACCATGCCACTTCCTCCTGTCCATAGGTACCTGTTTCCCTGTTAGACACTCATCTCCCTGTCTCTTACTGAAAACACATGGGAGCTGTCACTGCTCTCCCAGACTCCTCCAGACATTTAGATCCCGAAGGGCAGCCTCCAAGGAAGGTTGTGAGGAGATGTGGGGGTGCCTGGACACAAAGACTGGTTGTAACCTGCTGAATCCATCCTCAGGGTAAGCAGGAGGGGCAAGCTGAAGCGTCAGGAATTTTAAACGTAGCAACCTCCTTTAATACCTGAATGATGGACTGTAACTCCTGGATTTTGGTCTTCATCATCTCATTTTCCCGCTCCAGCTCCAGAACCTGTTCCTTTTTGGGCCGGTTTTCAATGTCATTTTTCAGCTTCAAAGACTGGTTCCTCTCCAGCTTGCACTCCTCCTCCACCTTGTTCAAGCGATGCTTCAGCTGGTCAATCTGGAGCAGTGAAAAGGAGAAATAGGAAAGGAAAAGATTGCTCTGATAACACTCTCACTTCCAGGTGAAAACATACTGTCATAGATGAAAAGATATCTTAAACTGTGAATGCTAACAAAAAGCAGACAATTGGGTGTATGGGAATGTGTATTGAATGTCCACAACTGAACTGTTGAACTCTCAAAGCACAGACCTGCTACTTGCCAGCTACAGCTGGTATGGGCTGCTTGTGAATTTTTAGAACACCTGGACTAAAGAAAAAAAAAAGTGGCACATCCTCAATCCTCCCATGAATAAAGAGATATGAAACAGAACTAACACTTAGGAGGCTGACCACGCACTGAGCTTTTTGCACAGGAAAAACAAGAGCTTTGAGTTCTGGATAGGAAAGAAGGGTTCCCAAAAAATAAAAAGTGATGTCTTATGTAAAATATTTGATATCATGGGTTCAAAGTTAAAATGCAGCATCCACTATGGGTAGTTGTTTACTCCATCTCATCTGTCACGCACACGCACAAGCATGAATTCTATGGCACTTCAAGCACTTCTCTGTATTTCCTAAATTACCTCAACCTGTTCCAATGCTCTATGTGAGACTTTTTGAATAGACCTCCAGCAAAACTGGACAACTGATAACAGTAATACCAAGATATTACTGAGCCTCAAAAGCTAAAATTATGTTTTTAGCAAACAATTATGTCTTCTAAATTTTATTTTTATTTCTGTTCTGCTCATCCATTGCAAGTATGTAAATTATCTGCTATTAATACACATCACTGCAGTTGGCATTTCTGTACAGTCATGCCTCTAATCATCTGGGTAAGCACAGCAAATGAGAGCTCTGCACCTTTCTGTTGTCAGAGAAGGTCTTGTTTTGTCAGATGCCACTGGCACCCTCCACTGCTGCTCCTGACTGAAGCCCCTCAGAGCATTTCTCTCACCTCTAACTGGAGGTCTCGGCTCCTTATCACGGCCATGCTCTTCTCGTCACTCAGCTGGGCGTATCTCATGGCCAGATTGTAGTTCTCATCCTTCACCTTCACCAGCTCGTCGTTGTAGTTGTTCCTCTCCTCCTTCATCTTGTTGTACCTCTCCTGGAAGGTCAGCAGCTCTATCTTGTTCAGTTTGAGCTGCTTTCGCTCGTCCTCCAGCTGCCGAGACTTGGCCAGGAGTTCGCAGCGCTGCACGTCCTTCGTCTTCACTTGCTGCTGGAGCTTAATGATCTCATTCATTAGGAAATGGGTAAGGCCTTCGTGTCCCTCCTCCACTGAAAGTGTTTGAACAGCTTGTCAACGTCTAGTAAAGCATCTTATTTAGTTATTTTATTAATAAGGTAATAAGTAGGATCAGCAGAACTGAGAAACAAACGGCCCAGAGTATGCACAGAGGGGCAGAATTTGCACAAATTCATACACATTTGTATATCTAACTGGGAACAGTACAAATGTTCCACAGCACACTGCTACCAGAATCACAATATAGGCACATACAGCTTGTCTGGATAGAAGATGAAGCCTTTACATTTGTCCTGTTTCGACTGAGCCTGTGGAAACAGCACAAACATTGTAAAATGAATCTATACGATTACAATTAATGCAAATGCCTTAAATGTGCTGTCCACAGTTCCAGTGTTCCTTCCTCTTGGGATTTCTGGTAATGCCTGTCATTCAATTTGAAGCTCTTCAGCTCTTTTCAAACAGCTGATATGTCCCTTCTCTTTATATATTACCTGTTGCTATCATGTTTTGCTTTGAAGGGGATTGAAAAACTGCAGAATGCTACAACAAGATTAGCTTTTATTTCCATTTCCTGCCTGAAAAAAACAAACTCAGTTTCCAAAACAGTCTTTATTTCAACAGGCTCCTCCGTGATTGATTCTACTCACCAACAATAGTGGAAAATCTCCGTGTAGGTTCTTTCCCTGTTACCAGTTTGTAGAGCTCAGGGTAGTAGAACTCCAGGCTCTCTAAGAAAACCACGTAGCCCCTTTGGCCCTTGGTGTGGAGGATGTCCAGCAGTCGGCCTAAGGACAGACAGAGAGGTGACACATCAGCACCATCAGCAAGTACCATATCCCTGAAGTCAACTCTGCTTAAGGTTCATCTCTGCCACAGCAATGGGCTGAGCAAAATCTGGCTGATTAACTGAGTTCAGCTGAACTCATAAAGCAATGGCTCCAATTCCTTATGTTTGTGGTGATGGTTATTCTGAAGGAGTGCTGGCAAACTGATCTCTGGAACAGAGATTTCAAAAGACTCATTATTCAGTAGAGCCTTTACAGGCAAGGATGGCAAGTCCTTCAAATCACAAGGTACAGCAAGATAGCTGGAGAGCTACTCCTGGAATGGCACTGGCTGCTGCTCTGTATTAACTGAAATATTTGCCAAGGCTTTGATGGGAACATGAACCCCAAGAGCTCCAGTCTGCACAGCACTGCAAAGAGTCTTTGTTACCAAAATAGCAGCAGCAGAATCCCTCCCTATATTAAATCTTCCACAAACGAGATATAGGGTTTCCATTTGATAATCTGTAACTGGATGGAGGCTCCCTCCAGGCTTAGCAAAGCAATGCCGTTCACAAAGGGATGCAGATGCAGCCATTCACCAAATAATTACCTGCTCTGTTAATTTTGGAGGGCAGCATAAGTGAGTTGAGCACCTCATCCTCGTCCTGCTCGTCGATGACCTTGCACTGCCGCAGGTAGGGGGTCAGTTTGGCCGGGTTGATGTACCGGCTCAGCATGTGCCGGTTGCATTCCACGTTCTCCCACAAAGCCTCCTCCTCATCCTTCAGTGTCTCCAGGCAGTCGTCCATCTCTGGCTCTCCTCCTTAACAAGGGAAACAATTGGCAAATGAACACCAAACAGGACAACTTCAACCCCAGCACTTTTTTTGTGCTTCCATGTCCTATAGGATGAGCTTGGAACCATCCCCGACTAATACTGAAACTGTTTGAAGTGAAGTGCAGCCTGTCCACAGCTCGTCTGGGGAGTGGCAGTTCACAGAAGTGCTGTCTCCAGTCTATGAACTATTGCTCCTCGCTCTCCAGTGATGGAGCTGCACTCAGCCAACCCCATGAAGGTCTCTGCAAGTCAGAGAACCCCTCTGCTCAACGGGAGCAATGGCAAAGGGCACCGTGCAAGGCAGGAAGGGAATGAACCTGCAGAGCTCTGAGCAAAGACAAACACTTGCTGCAGGCAAGGAAGGCTTTTATCCTCCCCTCCTTTGCTCCTCCCAACTGTACCCATGTGAACCTGCATATATGTGATGAGCCAACACCTGTAAATGGCTGCACACAAGGAGAGTTAACTCATGAGCAGGCAGCTCTGCAGCCGGGTTGGGATGGTCTGAGGGGTGTGAGTGCAGGCACCTGTGAGCTCAGACCTTGCCTTTCCCCTGTGAGTGGGTAGGTATGAGCATTGCATCACTGCAGGCTGAAAATGTTCTTGACTCATGCAAATGTTGTCACATGATTTCTGAGTGCTTGATAAGCAATTTCCTGCCAACTCCTAATTTGTACCCACCTCATCAGAGAAGGTTACAAGGCAGGCAACACTGAGGCAAGAGAACTTGTACTGAAGTTAGAACTAAAGAAACTTTGCAAAAAAAAAAAACAAACCAAAAAAAACCACAAAAACTTTCCTTCTTTATTCTGTAATAAATGTTAACCTTTAAACAAATCCTATTTTTGCATTCTAACTTTCACAGGACCTTGTGATCCAGGTGGCACACAGAACACAAGCTTCTATATCAAGTTATGTTACCCCATCAGAGACTGTGGTGAAACAAGAATGTGCAGTTCTTGGGTCATAGGAGAGGAGAGCTGTGCTTTATGAGGCTTTGCTGGTAATCAGTAACTAAAGACCTCAAAAGCAACATGTTTTTCTCAGCTTCCAGCTTCAGGAACTGCACAGCAGCCTGTGTTACACTGAGCATCCCTGGGCAAAATCAGCTTGTAAACTGTAAAGCCAAGGGCTCATTCTGAAAACTAAAGCCAAAAGTGCTAATCTGCTAAATAGTGTGTTTGTCAGTGTTCTTGCATGATGAAATATAGAATATTCCTAAAAAAAAAAAATAAAGCATGCTCTCTTCTTAATGCTTTTAAAAGCTTCCCCGATTTGTCAAAAATCATAGTCTGGGTTTCAATATCCCTATGAGAAAAGTTTGGATGGGTTCTTCATAGTATGGACAGCTTAGAGAAGAATTGCCAGGAGCTCTGCTCTTCTCCTGTACTCCAGCAGCTTTCCCAGAGTTCTTTCCATTGCAGTTTCACATTTTGGGAACCACTTATTCTGCATTTGCTCTGTAGATTCATGACTCCAGTGGCTGCTATTAAATGTTCTGGGAGAGACAATGGTCCTCAGAGGGTGAAGAAGACCAGGGCTGCTCAGTGGGATCCAGAATCATGGGGGCATGGCTGTAGCTGTGGGAAAAACCTCCCTGGTCTTATGAACTCCACACAAGTTGCATGAAATTCTCACTGAAAGCCACAGTATTTATGCAGACTAAAGATGACACTGCAGGAACAATCATAATAAAGGTAAAACAACAGGAAAAAAAGCTTTCTAAAGCTGGTAGCAGTGGGAGGAATGCTGAAGGTGAAAGAGCCTCATCTGAAGTCCACACACATTTTCATGAACCTCACTCTCCACCACTTATTCTGGAAGTAACTGTATTTCACTTCAAAGGTGAATTTAACAAACACCACATAATTGGAGAAGGTGAACTTTTGGGAGTAGAAGGCAGTGAAGCAGAAGGTCGCACAGTACCTCAGTCATCTCACAGCCACAGCCACCTTCTGCAGCTAAAAAAAGGAGTGTGGCAGGCCCTTTAATTCTGGAGTGCAGCAGGGAGCTCACAGATGGACCTCAGAGTGCAAAGGAAGCACTTGCCTGAATTCCATAAAATGCAAGATATCCTGTAATCTGCTGCACTGAACCAGAAATTATTGCACACTGTCAGCAGTTCCCTCAGGACATTAGTAAGGGATTTCTCCATTAAATGATTCCAAGAAGAGTTCACTCATCAGTGTAATTCTCAACATGAACACGCTTTTTTTTTTACCTGACATTAAAAATACCTTTATCAAATAGTCCCTCGTGTATGGGCATAATACATCCATACTGTTATTTTGGGGACATAATGTTTAATGGGAAAGTAATAAGTATATTGCATGAGTGGCTAAGAATTCTAAAAGGAGATTTCTGGTAGCAAACTCCTGTTAAACACAGTCTATGATCAGGAGCAAGCCCTGAGAAATGACATTTAGTGGAGTGGTCCTTCACTGCCCTGTAGGAATATCAGAATCTTCCTTTTACTTTCTTCTCTGGAGTTCCACCTTGGAAATGCCAGAAGGACAGCTGAGCTCTGTCCTAACTCCCTGTGCTGTTCATCCCCTGCCAGGGAGGTGTAAGAGGGATCACTCCTCTCTCTCGTAGAGCTTTAGGCATTGCCTTTGTTGTGTTTCTTTGGCCAGGCTGGTACACAACCCCCACATAACTCCACTGTCCTGTGGAGCCACTCCAGAGAAAATAGCCATGGACAGCTGATATTAGTGCAGCACCCCTCTTAATGAGCAAATAGTTATCTGATTTAGTATTTAATATAATACTGAATAGGAAGCAAAATGTTTGCTATTGGTGGGAATTTTGGTGTGCTGGTCAAAAACCCACATGTAACAACTAAAACTCAGTGGGAAACCAATAAAGGTTTTGTATTACTGGCTTTAATTTCAAAAGTTTTTCAGCAGCACATGCATTTTTTAGGCATTTAAAGGCCCTTATTCCCTTATTCTGTCCTTTGTTCATATGATGATATTGCAGAAAACTTGTTTTCACTTATAAAATTAAAAATGACAGATTTAATTTTTTTTTTCAAATGTGTAATCACTTATTTAACCTGATTTTTATCATCATTGTCTACTTTCTGATTCCAACACCTCTTGAGCTGTAACCTAACACATTCAGGAGTTGTGATATGTCATAGAAATACTATGGCATCCATTACAAATCACAGGTGTGAAGTCACAGACTTGGACTGACTTCAACAGGCATTAACCAAAAAGAAATCAGAATCACCACAGCAGTTAAAAAATTGTTCTCCTGCTGCTCCTTTCGGTAGTTAGTACACAAAATTGCTTTTAACTGCAGGAGAGCTTAATCCAGTAATAATCTCAGCTAGTTCCATCTATTTCAGAGGTCTCTGTAGACACAGACAAAAGAGAGAATCCCTTTTTACATTAAAAGGAACACTCTGCTTCCTTGTCTCCTTTTCTCTCCAAGGGACTATCCCTCTCCTGTTACACACAAATGAATTGTTCTATGTGTTTGCTATTTTTTTCTGTTATATTTTTCAGCAGAACAAATCACCTTGCAGCTGAAGCTGCTCCCTGTTCTCACTCAGACTCCACACCCTCATATGTCAGTGACACTCTCTGCTGATCAAGGGAATAAAGCCTGCAGGCTTCAGACCCAGGGGTTCTATAAAGTCCTCATCATCAGGTCACATCTAAAGCTTCTTTTTTTTTTTTTTTTTTTTTTTTCATGGTTTGTTTCGTGATGGTGCAGAAATTAACCCTTCAGCCGTTTAATTATCTGCATCCCCCTGCTCTGAATTCCTGTCAGCCTGTCAATACCGAGGAATCCCCGTGCAGCAGACTGCAGATGCAGGTTGCAGCTCGGGTTTCTGATTTCCTGATATCTCCTTTGTGGAATATGAAAAAAAAAAAAAAAGGGTTTTGTCCTCGTGCTGAGAAGCAGGAGGAAGTTTACTTTGGAACGGGTAATCAACTGGAGAGTTTTGGACTTCTGCGTTTGTCACAGATGTTCACAGACTGGCAGAATTTAAAAAGAAACCACAGCACACAAAATGCTTTGCAAATCATACATTAATAAGAATAGAAGTTTATGGCAAATACTAAATATGTGTATATAAACCAGGAAAGAATGACATATAAGTCATCACACTTTAAACCAAAAATAAAGATGAAAATAACACTCTAAACCTCAGCATTTTGAGGGTGTTGTATTACACCCTCTCCCTCTGCACATCTCTAGATTCCATGGGGCAATGCCCTTTCTCCCTCAAGTTTGTACAGCACCTCACATGACAAAGTATAACAATTGGGTGATTTTCTCAAAAGCTGCTTGTGTGGATGTGTGCAGATTTGCAGCATCAGAGAACCACAAAACCACAAAGGGATTTAGAGCTATTTTTACTTTTAGAGGAAAGTCACAGTTTAAAGTGTGATAAGGAAATTATATTCCTTTGCTTCAGGACAGGAGAGCTCTGTGTGCCCTGCGGGCTTTCCAAAACGCTGAATACCAGCAGTTTCCAATTATTTTGGTGGCACTGCTGGATGTTCTGTGGTACTGAAAACCACTTTTAAAAGGCTTAAACGTTGATAAAAAAGACTAAATTTGCTTACCTATACTTGTAATTTTTTTCAATGCAGGTGTCTACACCTGGGCTCCCAAAGGAGAGGAGACAGTGTCTTCACCTGCCTTTAGGAATTTGCACTTTGTATTCATTCTTTCTACCTCAGTGTCCCCACCTGAAAACAAGGCTGGTAATAGGTATGTTTATGACAAGGTAGGACTTGGAAATTAGTGATTGCAAAGCACATGGAACCACCAAGATGGAAAGGCCCCAGAAGAACATTTATTATTAGTGAAATTTTATTAGTTTATACTTTGCAGGCCCCAGAACACTTTCTGAAGCCACAGCACTGCTGGATGAGCTAGGCTGTATTTCTGTTTTGGGTCACAGTGTATATGGAAAGAACCATTCTGTCTATCTCAGAACCCCTTCTTTATAGAAAATATTCAAC